GGCAGAGTGCTAAGAACCCCATGGTCCATCACCGCATCCATCAGCTCAGTGAGATGTAAACTTAAGGCGCGACACCAGTGAATGCGACCTGCGATGGGCGGAAAATTGCGCGCCAGTGGCGGATCGTCACGCTGCCGGCGAAAGGTTTTTAAAATGCGATCGACCTCCTTTTCCACATAGCGTAAAATTCTCGTATACTTCTCATCCATACGGGTCAGTGGTATCTTCTCGCTGACCTTCTCAAAGCGCACCAGGAAGCGTATGCATTGAGGCGTCTCCCAGACAGTGTCAAAGTCCCGCTCGATCAGCGTGGCAATCGTGTCCTTTAGCGAATCGGTTTTATTCATGAACCGATCAAAGTCATCATTAAATTCGGCATTGCGATGATCCAGATAATCGTATTTCTTGGAAGTGATCTCCTTTTTGGCTTCCTCAAAATGATTGGAGGCATCCTCCAAGGCTTCGCCCAGCAGCAGACCCTCCAAGCGACGCTCAAACAAGTGATTATAATCGTCAATCAGATTGAACATATTTATTATCTTCGAGAGACGCTCGCAGAATGTGTCGAACTTGCCTATACAGGAGCGATAAATAGGATTAGGTATACTATACTATTTTTTTCCCATACCAAAAACAAAGTTCTCAGAGAAGCCAAATGGTGTCTGATGCGGCAGAAAAGGCTGCTCCCGAACTGTATAATAGGTCTCATGATAGATGTGGTTCAGTTTGATGCAGTTGCTCAGCTTTGTGCGTATGAGACTACGATCTTGAGACCAAATTGTTTCCTTGCAGCGACAAGTGATGTAGGATTTGCATGTTTCGATCATTTGGTTTGTTATCTGATAAAAATGTAAAGCAAGCTTTTTATTATAAATGTAACGTTTTCCGCGCCAAAATATACATCAATACCAATGCAACCATGTGTCTTACTTAACGATGCAAAATGAAATTTATTTTTAAAACACCTTTTAGGTCATATTCAATGCAAATATCAATGCACTTATTGTTGACAGTCCCATGTTTTGACACGCGCGGAAGGTGACAGCTACAGCAAGGTGCAAAAGGTCAACGAACCAATAATATACTGAAAGCTATTCAAGCAGCTCTATTGCAAATTCCAGGGTAAGTGAACTTTATAAACTCAAGCACCATATAAGCTGCTGCCCCGCAGAAAATCAATCAATTCAGCTGCTCAATAAAATAGAAAGCTTATGGCAAAAGTGGCGGCACGAGCAGAAAAAGCATAAGGCATAAAAGTAAACGGAAATTGCGCTCTTGAATGACGACAGCAGTGCCAATAAGTATGTATCTCTATTTGGAAGTTAAAGATAACCAATAGATAACTGCCTTCCAGGTACTCACCTTAACCATGAGCGCCGAGGTGCGCTCTGAAGTATTGTAGAATTGTGAGACACTGTAGATGAGACGCACCGTCTGAAGCAAAGCCAATATGGACTCCTTCATGCTGACAGGATCGTCCAGATACAATGAATGGCAGCATGTCTCCATGGCCTGTATAAACTTCGAATTGTCGCGCGCTTCGTTGTAACAGAATGTTATTTTGCGATCGGTTTCCTTCCACTGCCGCATTACTCTTGAACCGGCGAGAAAGAGGCAATGGAGAGTGAATTGCACTTCCTTGTCCTGCAGATGGGCGAGCAGCTGTGAGAATTGAGCGCCACGCTTCTTCCAATACTCCAGCTCGTCCTGGGGTCCGCTGTGATCGTTCTCCTTGCGCAGCTGCTCACTCTCGCCCAGTATTTTGAGTATGCCCTTTGTCCAGTTGTTGACGCGCTCCTCCAGCTGCGTGCAGAATTCCTGATTCTTGGCCATGTCCTTGACCTCCTCGACAGCTATGCAGCCATCAAACATATCGCACCCATCGGTAAACACATTATAATGATCGCAGACCTGCTCACAAACCCGCAGAGCGCTGCAGAAGGAGCGCAATCCCGGCAGCAGTTGCCCCTTTATGAGACCGCAGCTCACGTCCTCCTCATCGCCTTCGAGGCTGGGAAAAGCCAATGCCTGCATAAACACAAACTCCACAATACGCTCTATGGATGTGACCAGGCCAATATTCTTGGCATCGATGACGCCACAGTATCTGAATAAATTAGGGAAGAGAAGGCAACCAAAATATTCAATTACCAATACCCTCGAGGAGTGTCAGTCAATCATGTGTGCGTGTGTGTGTGTGTGTGCGTGTGTGTGTGTAGGATAAATCCCCGATAATCCGCGTGCCAACAAATAAACCAAAAATTGGCTATTCTTAGATAACAGTTTTTAAGTTTAGCCGAAACAAAAGGAAATCTATGAAAGATAAACAAAGGCGCAAACTAAAACGGAAAACAAAAGTGAATCAGTCAAGAGTTTCCGACTAGCAGATACCACGTGGGATTTGATTCAAAGCGAAGATAAACTGGTGGAAGGTATTTAACTCTTATCGATATTTATAAGTTTTGATACTAATATCCACTGCTTTATACAAACGGAATGCACAGGACCATTATACCCCTTAAAACATTTTCAATGGGTACAGAATATATCAACCGCAGCGAAAAACTTACAAATCCTTTTGAAATCCCTCCTCGGGCAGCTGCTTTGACGTGTTCACGCGAAAGATATAAATACACACGCCGGTAAAAGCGCAGGTCCAGCCATCGGTAAGGAACAGTTTCTTATGTTTGGATGCCGGCAGGCCGCTGGGCGAGGCACCACCTAAAAGGGTAGGCAATATATGGACTAGATATTGGTATATCCATTTGATGTGCAACATACCCTGTGGCGTCTTCGAGCTGCTTGATGCCATGCCTGTGCGTGAAGGTCCTGGCTTATTGGCATCCACCACTGGCGGAGGTTCCGGCTCATCCACCTCCTGATAGAACCACAGAAGCTTGTTCTTCATGTTCGGCAGAAACAGCTGATTAATCTCATCGAGCTGGTAAAACATATAAAAATCAATATAATGCGGCCCAGGCTAATTAAATGAAAAGCTACCATATCCCCTTCGAATATGTAGTCCATGAGCTGATGCCGCGGCAGCTGAGTGGCATCTATCAGCAGCTGGAATGTGAACTCCAAACGGGGATCCATCTCCCCACGGCGCGCCTTGCGCTCGCATTCTTCGCGTCGACGCTGCGCTTCGTCAGGGTCCATGGCCATGTTTATTGTTTTATTTTATTTAATCAAATATCCATATTAATGGATTATATATATTGTTTTTTTTTGTTGTGAGTATTCAACGCGTCGAACCGTTGGAGTTACCAAAAAATACGCGCAGTTAAAGGTTATCAGGTGCCGCAGAATTTTCAAACATCGATATTGATTTGATTTCAATATTATCAAATATAATTTATAAAATTATAGGTTGTTTTGTTTATCATTTTAGTGTTTTCGCCATTGCAAAATTCAAAATTGGGGAAAGACCAAAAATATGTATATATTAGTTTCAAAAACACATGTCTTGTCGTTGCTTGCGTTGCAAAAACTGTTGACGCAATATTAAAATAAATAAAATATTTGCAAAATACAAAACTACTTACAACAATTGCCATAACAAGAACAACTAGAACAACTTTTACTTGAACTTTTGCTTTTACGGTGCAGCTAGAAAAAACAACAGGAACAAACAACGTGTGAGCACAAAAACAAAAATTTGTTTTTCAGCTCACTAAAAAACACAAAACGCATTTAACAGTTACAATTGTTTATAGTTTTTAGTGTGTGTATGTGTGTTTATAGTCTTTCAATATTTTAAACTCGAGGGTTATTTCTGCAACGAGAGTGAAGTTGCATAAGACTGCATTACAAGTGTACTAAAAAATAAAATTGAAATTTATGGATTAGTTGAATATGTTTATCTTATTTATAAGCCAAATTTCTTTTTAGCTTTGTTCAACTACAGCGCATTCTTATAAGTTAATTTGCAATTTTTCATTTTTCTCTTTTGTTTTTACACCATTTGAAGGATTACATAATCAGCCAACGAGTACAAGGAGCTAAAGGGTTACATTACATTTCGTACTGAAGCAATAATTATTTATAATAATCTTGCATTGAACATGTTACAAATTTAATTGGCAACTAATTAATTATTTAATTGTTTAGTTGTCTCTCAATTGGCACCTGCAAAATGTCGCCCTCGTCCTCCTCCTCCTCATCATCATCGCTGCCACTGCCACCATTTGCACGCATTGCAAGTACATGCTCAACCAGTTTTTTCTTTTGCACAAACATTGTGCCAGCAATATTAATGCAAAGAAAATAAAACGCAAAAAACGCAATTAATTCTATAAATTTACTAGTTTTGCAAATTAATTTTCGGTCACTGTTATTTTGCACTGCTTTCTGACAAAAATCAATGCACAAACTTTATTGAACAAACAAACTCGTACAGGAATCGAATTGCGCGCCAATTGTCATGACAACAAAAGTCTCCAAAAGGTCTCCAATGCGACCGCCACGATCATTGGAAGCGCTAAAATTCAAACTGGTTTCGTGAGTGCGTTGTTTTGCCAGTATTTATATGGAATTAAAGAACAATTTGAGCTTTAAAAGTCTTATGATTTTCAACAATATATTTAAGAACCCTTAAATATAGTATTTTTCTCTTCGAAGTTGTGCTTGAACGCTCTCCAACACTGTCACACCGATAGCCACTGACATCGATACTTAGACAAATCGATGATTTACTTCAGCCCTGCTCAGCGCCTAGTTCTTTTATATCGATAGGATGACATACTTGTTCCGTGTCATGCCTCTGTTAAATTTAAACTCGATAAACGCCAACATTTTCTATTGCATTATCTTTAAACTTCAAGTGTTGCTAAATAAATTGCAATATTTAAAATAATTTGGAAAATATCAGATATAGTCGAAAATGTCCAATTTTTAAGATATAATAGTATTTCAGCCGACTGTTACTATAACAGTGACAAGGGCAGAACAAAACGATGCGAACTAGATGAACGACAAATCGTTCATTCAGTTAAGTGAGTCGCTCCGTCGAGCTGAAAGATTCGATACAACTCTAATCTGGACGCGTGCTGTTCCTTATACATAAAAATTGTGCAAAAAGTGCCGAAACAAATTAATAAAAAGATTAGTAACAAATTCTAAACATCCAAAAAGAGGTAAGCTTTGAGCTGTGCATATGTGTAAATAAATTTATGAAATTTCGAGCTTGAAAAAGCTGTAATTGTGGAGAAAAAATTCGACAGAAAAATGAGACTAGCAAAGGCAAAATCAAAATGGCGTAAGCGCCGCAAAAAAAAGCAAAACGAAGCGGCATTATAGGCAAACGTTAAAATACGTAAATGCAATAAAGTTGAATATAAATTAATGGTTATTTGCTGAATAGTACGCATTGATATATCTGTATATTATACATGCTTTCTCTCCATCACAGAATTGCCGCCCTCGAAAACAAAAACCATGTCGAACGCAGACGTGCAGTATAATCAAGGATTTGCCCAGAATCAGGACAACAATGAGGACAACTATAACGATGACAATGATCAGCAGCAAGAGGATGATGACCAATACGATAATGATCAGAACGATGCTGACGATGATTCCAACGTAAAAATCGGCAACGTTGGCGAGAGTCCCAAATTTATACGACTACGCGGTCTGCCGTGGTCGGCAACACACAAGGAGATTCTTGACTTTTTGGTCAATGTAGAAGTTCTCAATGGCTCGCAGGGAATACATCTGGTCACCAGCCGTGTGGATGGCAAGAATACCGGTGAGGCGTACGTCGAAGTTGCCAGCCAGGATGATGTCGAGGAGGCACGGAAGCTTAACAAGGCCAGCATGGGTCATCGCTATATTGAGGGTGAGGGTCTCTAGTCTTCAGTCATCTTTCCCAAATATTAACTTGTAACTCTTCTGTGCTTCCAAGTCTTTGTTGCCACGCCCAAGGAGGCTAAGGAGGCAATGCGCAAGACGGGCGGCCATGGCCACGCCTTCGTTGTCAAGCTACGTGGCCTGCCTTATGCTGTCACAGAGCAGCAGATCGAGGAGTTCTTTACCGGTGAGTCCATGCGCTAATCGTGTGTGTGCCTCTGTTTTTTCTTAGATGTATTTAGTGGGCAAAGGAGAACTCGTAAAACGTACTGATGCAAATGCATCTATACAACATGTGTATAAATATATATATGTATATATATATATATATATATATATATATATATATATATATATATATATATATATATATATATATTTCTACCCACATATATATATTTCTATAGCGTTGAGCCACGAATTGAGTGTTAGTCTTGGGCTCCATTTGAGTTGTATACCCAAACGTCTGGGGTGTTTGCATCCAAGGACCAGGGGTCGTTATATGATGAAGCCTTATTCAAAATTCATTTCATTTCCATTTCCAATACGCACACATACACAAGCACGCACACACACACACACACACACACGCTAAAATTGGAATTTATCTAACCAAGTACAACGTTTCTATTTTTTAATGCATTTAGAATTGTTAATATATGATACCAGTATAAACAATATTAATTGATATATGTTGTCTTGCCCTCTAATCATTTCTTTAGCAATTAAATATTTTGTTTTATTTTAGCAAGTTTATTCTGTTAAATTTTGTATGATCTTTGTATTAACAATTCTACTGCACACTTGATATTAAAGTTAACAAAATATTGATTTCATCGTCGTATTGATAATATAACTTGAAGGCAATCCTTTAAATTAGATGGCCCTCAAGGAACTTTTACAGTTCCCTTCGAGGGACAACAATAAGACAAGCAAACAATTCACTACTTCTCTATAAAACAAATATATATATATATCGTCCAATCTCTATCTCTCATTCTCTGTATCTATCGTTAACTGCATTATATATATATATATAAATATATATATCTCTATATATTTGTATAAATCTTTGTTGGTTATCGTCATGGGCAGGGTTGGAAATCAAAACGGATCGGGAGGGCATACTTTTTGTTATGGACAGAAGGGGTCGTGCAACTGGGGAAGCTTTCGTTCAGTTCGAAAGCCAAGATGACACTGAGCAAGCCTTGGGCCGAAATCGGGAAAAAATTGGGCACAGGTGGGTTTCTTACACATCATATTTACCAACTACAACAACAACAGCACAACAGCCAATAAACATTCAACATTCAAATGGTAACATGAATCAACAACAAATTAAACTTTTCAAATGTTGCAATTATCAGCAAATGAAAAAATAAAACAAAGCTAATTTATATACATTCCTATTTCAGTACAAACAAAAAACGTAATTTAATTGTGCATATATATACACATACTTTATATATAAAGCACAGGCTATGGGTCTGGTTGGGTGCAACAACGATAGCGAATTGATAACACCTATTAACCAGAGAAAGTCTTTTGATAAGTTCTATATACTTCAATTAATTTAACTGTTTTACCCATTTAGTATATTCTTATCAAAAGTCTCAGAGCATTGACTGTCTGTGTTTATCTAACCAAGGACATTCTTTAATAATATGGATTATTGTGTCATTAACTCACAAAAAAAAAAAACGCCGCCGGCCATAGCAAGCCCCTCTCTATAAGCATGGTACTTTTCTCTCCACAAGCCTGCTAATATGATTTCACCTTTTTCTCATTTTCACTGCTCCTAGGTATATTGAAATCTTCCGCAGCTCCATTGCTGAGATGAAGCGTGCCACGGGCGGCGGCGGCGGTGGTGGTGGCGGTGGTCGCCCTGGACCCTATGATATACGCGATCGCGGCGCCAATCGTGGCGGCAACGATTTCGGTGGACGAAATGGTAAGTTTGGCCCCAGAATGCCCTAAAATGGGTTAGCCTTTGAAGCATTTTAGATATACATCAGAATATATTGATTGACTCACTCTTTAATTGAAGATTAATATATGAAAAGTTCCTTGCGAAAGTTGTTTAGAGATGTTTTTCACTTTTTGTGGTATACTCCACCTAAATGGGTGGAAAATGGGGATTCCATTTTTGTCTGATTGTCATCATTTCGGAGATATACCTATATATACATATACATAAATATATATATATATATATATATACATATACATTTTTCACCGATTTTAGTAAATCCACCATAGCGGAAAACAAAGATAATGTCCAGAGATGTAAAATTGTAGGCTTAACGAACAACAAATGGCATGGAAAAAGCCTTCACGGCTTATCCCTGTATTAAATCGTCTAGAATCTTGACTCATTTGCCTAAGTATATGATGACTAATTAGGAGCTCGACTAATGTTCAAATTTTGAACATTCTCTTTTGCAGACTGGGGCAACAACAGCAACTTTGGCGTGGGCGCCAATAATATGTTGGGCTTTAACAATTTGCCCAGTTTAATGAACTCGGGTAATTTTGGCAATAACTCCGGCGGCGTCGGCGGCGGTGGTGGTGGTGGCGGCGGCGGCAACAATGGCAATTTTGGTCAGAACACTGGGAATTTTGGCAATTTTGGCAACGATTTTGGCGATTTTAATAATTTTGGAAATAATCGCAGCAACAACAATGGTAACAACTTTGGTAAGTAACAATTAAAGAACCAACACAAGAAATCGTAATCTTTGGGCTTGCGTTTAATTCTATACAAAAATCCTCGGGCATTCAGGGGCTTTGGTTTGATTCAATTGTTAGTGCAAGCAGCGTTTTGGACAGTTCCTAATAATCCTCCTGCTCTAACTAAAGCAAAACTAACTCGTATAGTTGATTTTTCTCTTCCTATTTAATGTACCATATTAGATAGTTAAATATTTTTAACCCATTTTGGCCAAACCTAAACCAACCAACTCACTTGGTTCTTTCTAATGAAAAATTTGCTTTCCATTACAGACATGCCTGGAAATTTCGGCAACAACGGCGGCGGTGGCGGCGGAGGCTTTGGTAATTTTGGTAACAACTCTGTTGGCGGAGGAGGCAATGGCTTCAATAATGGCGGCGGTGTCGGAGGCTTCAACAACGGAGGAAATGGCGGTGGTTTCAATAACAGCAGCAACTCTGGCGGTGGCTTCAACAATGGCGGTGGCGGCGGAGGTTTTGGTAACTTTGGCAACAATTCCGGCGGCGGTGGAGGAGGCTTTAACAATGGTGGCGGCTTCAACAATGGCGGCGGTGGCTTCAACAATGGTGGCGGCGGCTTCAACAATGGTGGCGGCGGCTTCAACAATGGCGGTGGCGGCTTTAACAATGGAGGCGGCAATTTTGGATCGGTTGGAGGCAATTTTGGTCCCATTGGGGGCGGTCGCAACAATGATGTAGAGTATTACACCATCCACATGCGCGGTCTTCCCTACAATTCGTTTGAAAATGATGTGTTCAAGGTAAGCATCAAAAGCAGAGCAGCCGATGTGATTCTTTAAGATAACCTGCTTTCTTCATCTTTCAGTTCTTTGATCCCATACGCCCAGCTAACGTGCGCATTAACTACAATAAGAAAGGCCTGCACAGCGGCACCGCGGACGCCTATTTTGACACGTACGACGATTCGCAACTGGCTATGAAGCGGCACCGCGAGCAAATGGGCTCCCGCTACATTGAGCTCTTCTATGATGGCAAAACACGCGGCGGCGTTAATGTCGGTGGCGGCGGCGGCGGCGTCGGCCCCGGTGGTGGTCCTGGCAACATTGGTGGCGGCGGTGGTAGTGGCTTCTCACGTCGCATTTAAACGCTTACCTTTACATTAATTCCTTACTTTTACAAACGCTAATGTAAACGCAAGTATTTTATAAGATTGTGGACCACCACCGCAACCGTCGAGCGCACCTTATAAGCAAACACGAAGGACATAACATGTCGCTAGTACATAGAATTGCAACGTTTCGATTGCATATGAAACACATACACATCTTTTATATAATTTAAGCAAAAATGTATCTATACGAACCAAATGGTTTATACTTAGTTTTGGTCGCAAATGTAAAGAGATGGTGGCCTCCCTTCCATAGGAATGAAATAATAACAGGACAAATGGATAAAGATTTGGACAAAAAAGAAATGTCAATTTTTTGTAATTTCTGAATCAATCCTGACATGACAACAAGAAATTATAAACATTTAAAAGCAATAAAATTTATAAACCAATACATCGATTCGTACTCCACAATAAAAAGATTGTTTGTACTGCATAGTATGGGGTTCAATTCTTTGTTAAAAGATAATCAAGATGACAAGATGAAGATCCTTTAGTTGCCTTTGGAATCAATTGTTATATAAAAAGAGGAAGATCAGTGTGGATCGGGTAATGCATTATTTTTAGTCTCGATCTGTTTCTTATTGAATTAATATATGTTCAAGCATTTTCCCAGAATTGAACCGCATCAAACCGAATGGGTTCTAAGTTTCCTCAGCACACGATCGACTTGAAGCAGCAAGTATTTCCCAGACTATTCCAATTACAGAGCTATACTATAGAAGTCTTGATCAGCAATAGATCGTGCAATACTGTAGACTTGGTCAACAAACGCCGCGCCACTTGCATTATTGTTTTTGTTGCTGTGGCGAACGCGCGCGCGCATTCCACGAGTCTAAAATTTTACCCACATGCCAACAATTGGCAAAGGGGAAAAGGGAAAAGGGTAACAAATTGTAATTCCGTTAAACGTCGCTTTTGAATTAGTCGAGCTCAACTAAAACAATTGTTGATACAGCAAAAAAAAAGTGTGCATGGAATATTTGAAGCAAATATGGAATATTTTTTATAACACTATTTGGATTGCAAAAATGTGTGAGCTCCGATGGGTTGTTTTTATAATTTTTTCTACTCTCCGGCTGAAATGGTCCGTAGAAAATGTGCTAACTTTAAGCTTGTTAACAGAGCTGCAACAAGTGGGCTCTAAAAAATAAAGCGGCATCTACGTCTAATGAATGGAAGTGTTAAAACGAAAGTATTGAAAAAGTCAGGTGAAAAATATGAGAAGTATTTGATATGTACACTCAGCGAAAAAGGGACCATGAATTTATAAACTAATCAAGTTCGGACAAGGTTAGATCTTATTAACCTTATAAAGTTTGTGCTTTTAGAAAAAATTTTGAATCCTAAAATTTCACAAGATTTGTTTTACGCTTGTGACAAGTCTTTCCTATAGTCTATCTTATTATTAATCTTTTGATCAAACTTAGATCTGGAATAGTCATGGTTAACATGTTCTTAATATATAATATATTAAGCGAAAAACTCTATTAATTCTACGTCGGATATATTCGAATTTGGAACAGCATTTTTCTCTGAGTGTACCATGTACAGGAGGCATGCCAGCAGTTAGGTAGGTATTATGACATACAAATTAGCAATTCCTGAAATAGCTTCAGGTTGCAAGCTCTGGGTGGTCTTATGTACATTTCAAACTGACAAACTGCTTGAATAATTTATTATAAATAATAAATAATAATAACATACATTCTTTATAACGTTTATCTTTTAAGTTATTTATAACTTGTGCATTCGCTAATTTAGGATTTCGAAAACGACATCTCTCCCCATCCATCACTCTCTCTCGCTCTCTCTCTCTCTCTCTCTCTCTCGCTCCCCCCCTCCTCACCCCCACCCCCCGCACTGGTACGTCAGCTAGATAAGTTTTACTCAAGAGACAATGACAATAATAATTTTCGCTAATTATGTCAATAAAATATGTACGAGAGCAAGAAACCCAAAATAGATAATGCCTCTACATTCCAGAACGTAGACTCGTTCCATGGCGTCTATATAAATTCAGATCACACTTGAAGATGTGATTGTTGGCCAATTCTTTGCGATTGCGCACGCAGTTATTAAAGACCTGTGGGTGGGGTCTACCAATAAAATCGGGCATTTTTATTGTGGGTATAATAAATTCACATGCCCAAGGACTTGGAGGGGGGGTGAGTATCTTTACATAAGTCCAAAATTATAACGCTCTAATCAGTTGTATCTATTTGCCAAGTTATTTATGCGCTTCACGATGCGAAAAAAAAATGTTAAAAACCAACAGACGAGAAATAATTGTCAGATACTGTTTTTTTTTTTTTTTATTTTCCCCCATCTGATTGTTGCGGCGTGTGTGCAAAGTTTATTTATGAAAGTACTCGTAATTTATAAATCACGGCGTTTTTGTGTTTAAGTTTGCAAATTTCTTTAAGTATGGGAAAGCACGATATTTCAGCACGAGTCGACTTCAAGCTATAATATGCCATTGTACGGACTTGAATGGTTCCTAAATCATATAAATCATGCATATATGTATATACAGAACAAATTTATTTAAGATCTACTAGAAGTGTTTGAGAATATTAATATTTCATTCTCATAAATTTCCGTTGGATATGATAATGGCTTGCAAGACCTTTGGCTAATGTTTTAACTATGTTTAGTTTTATTGTTTAAACAAATTGTATCACATATGTATTTATCAAGCGGTCACATATTTACTTGTCAGCTTTAGAAGCACACAACAATTTCCAGAGTGCTAATGAAATGCACGTTCAATTATTTATTTAATATGGTAATCATAACAATAAAAATTATTGAATTTTACGCAACAAGCGTGAATATGTCATGCTAGTAAATATTTGTAAATATGGCAAAGCTGCAAAAAAGCCTTACATATTGTAATTGTGGAAAAAACCAATTACGTAATTCTCATATCGTGTAAGCCATGGATAATCTTAATCTACCTGCGCATCATTAGTTCTAGTATTATGGCATCGATGATAGTAGCTATAAATAACGGTAATTAAAGCACAGTTATCAGCTGGAATATCAAAGATTTAGTGCCCTTGCCCTGGCGTGTTAATTAAATTAGGCTAAGCGATATGATGATCAGATTTCAATTAACATGTTTCTGTCGAGAAGCAAAAAATAATTAAATTAAGTGCATGCAATAAAGCTTTTAAAGAGGCACATAAATGTTTGGTCTGTTACATATGTATTGACAAAATTATAATATTAATGCTAGATTATAAAAATAAAATAGAAAATGGAGACAGGTAGCTATTGCTAGCATTTAGTTTTAAAACAAAGACTTCGATTAAACTAAGGATTAATTGCCAAATTAAACACTTTTTACTGACAAGCAATGCAAATTCCGTGCGGGGAGAAATTTGTCCAGCGCTTAAGAAATCCAATCAGAAAGCCAATCAGAAAAACGAAACTGTAAAAATGCAAATCAGCTGATCGTAGCGCGCGCTAAAAAGCTCTCGTTTTGTAGATCAACGTCATCAATCGAAACGGAACGAATTGTCGAACTGACCGAAGGTGATAACCGGGTCCGGAGCAACAAAACACCTAACAACGGCGACAACGCCAGCGGCAGCAGCAGCAGCAGCAGCGACAGCGACAGCGGCGACGGCGCCAGCAGTCAATGTCAGAACGCGAAGCGGCCGCGTTGTCAACGGAGCTGCTCTAGAATCGCTCTGCCAGCGGCCAACTTACAGCTTACAGCTTACAGCTTACGCAAAGCGAACGCGGCTAACGGCAAAAAAAAACACAACAACAAGTCAATCGAAGCGTCAATCAAACGCATATCAATCAAACGTAATATGTGCGATCACAACAAGTGCCTGTGCCAACAACAATAGCAACTAAAGTGAGCAAATCAAAGCACGCGTTCAACAGGTGTCACAGGTGTGGCTAAAGGGAAGAGCTGTTCGCTTGTGTTACAGCTTTTATATTATTCGGATGTTTTATATGTGCTTTTGACGCTGTTATTTTAATTATATTTAAATGCAAGTAAATTATGTGTTGTAATTACAGTGTCGGAAATTGACTTTCAACAAATATAAACAACAACAAAAATAGATAACAACTAATGAGTACTCTGAGTGCTTTGTATATTACAGGAGCATGTGCTACATTTGTTTAAGCAACCACACAAAATACTTGCCTCTACTCAGTTTTACATTCATTATATGTGACTTGTTTTGAAAATGTTCTTGTTTTTATACCCTGAACCCATTAAAAATGGGTACAAGGGTATATTGAATTTGTGCAAAATCCAAATGTATGTAACAGGCAGAAGGAAGTTTCTCCGACCCCGTAAAGTATATATATTCTTGATCAGCATCAATAGCCGAGTCGATCTAGCCATGTCCGTCTGTCTGTCCGTCCGTCCGTCTGTCCGTCTGTACGTATGTATGAACGCAAGGATCTGAGAACCTATAAGAGCTAGAGACTTGAAATTTTAGATGTAGATGCTCCTAGCTCCCGCGCAGATCGAGTTTGTTTCCGATAATCGATAACTTGCTCCGTTTCCAAGCAATCGATAAAAATCGATATCGATATCCTGTTTTTTGGGCAATTTTGGTAAATAATAAGAGCTAGAGTCACCAAACTTGACATATAGCTTCTAAAATGGAATATATATATGCATTTGATGTTGGAAGAAGAGGGTTCAGGGTATCCCCTAGTCGGGAGCTCCCGACTAGAACCTCTTGTTAATGCTAAATAATGTGTTTTTTATGCACATACGTTTAACTAAAGTGCAACTTCTGTCAATCTATCTCATTTGGCAAAAGTATTTGATAAATATAGCCAAATTGGAAAAGAGATTTACTTTCTGTTAAATGTCGTTTTAGTCGGACTTTCTTTTGGTGCTGAGGTGTAGGCACAACAACAAATGTCTCCGTTTTGAAGACCTACATATACTTTTTTCCCACCGACTTTCCATATCTGTTTCAAGATATCGACATTTAATACACGAGAGTGAAGTTAAGCTTAGTTCTTCAGGCTTGAGAGTTAGCTTTAGCTATTGACTATTGAACATTTTAAGAGGCAATTAAGCAATATCAAAACTTGAGCAAGCACTTATAGACATCCGAACTCCTTATAAAACAATATTCATAAGAAACGCAAATAATCTTATCGATAAGAGCTGACAAGTGTGAAAAATATGTGGAATTTGCATTGTAATAAATAAAAATAAAATTGCTAATATAGAATGAGAAAATCGCAGGACAATAAATAAAAATCGAATAAAGGAAATATATTATTTGTATTATACAATCTCAATCTTCTGGTATAAGATTTTTCAAGTCGCAACCAATATATACTCCCAAAAACCAATATAATATAATACCCTATACCTCGTTAAATTGAAACGCAGCCCAACAA